CTCGAGATCCTTCACAACTTAAATTAAATTTCCCAATAATTTTTAATATTTTGTGCATGTAAAGTCCTCAACAAATCTGTGCTAACACACACACACACACACATACACACACACACACACACACACGCACACACACACACACACACACACACACACACACACACACACACACACACTCGACCCCTGCAACCACAATTAGGTGAGTACAATTAGGTGAGTACACACACACACACACACACACACGCACACACGCACACACACACACACACACACACACACACACACACACACACACACACACACACACACACACACACTCACACACATAGATGAATCACAGGGATGTTAGGAAGTATTTCTTCAGCCACAGAGTAGTCAGGAAGTGGAATAGTTTGGAAACCGATGTAGTGGAGGCAGGACCCATACATAGCTTTAAGCAGAGATATGATAAAGCTCAAGGTTCAGGGAGAGTGACCTAGTAGCGGCCAGCGAAGAGGCGGGACCAGGAGCTATGACTCGACCCCTGCAACCACAACTAGGTGAGTACACACACACACACACACAAACACACTAACACACAAACACAGTATGCAAAGTCATGGAGAAGATCACCAGAAGAGTGGTGGAGCACCTAGAAAGGAAGGAAGTTTATCAACGACAGCCAGCACGGTTTCAGGGACGGGAAATCCTGTGTCACAAACCTACTGGAGCTCTATGACAGAGTGACAGCAGTAAGACAAGAGAAAGAGGGGTAGATTGCATTTTCTTGGACTGTAAGAAGGCGTTTGATACAGTTCCACACAAGAGATTAGTGCAAAAGCTGAAGGACCAGGCAGGGATAACGGGGAAGGCACTTCAGTGGATCAGGGAATACCTTTTAGGAAGATAACAGGGAGTCATGGTACGTGGCGAAAGGAGTTCCACAGGGGGTCAGTCCTAGGACTGTCATTTCTGATAGTTGTGAACGACATGACCGAATGAATAGACTCGGAAGTGTCCCTGGGGGACACTTCCGAGCCTATTCAGGCAGAACTACCAGGCAGAACTACAAAGGGATCAGGACAGGCTTCAGGCGTTGTCCAGCAACTGGCTCCTGGAGTTCAACCCCACCAAGAACGAAGTCATGAAGATTGAGGAAGGACAAGGAAGACCGCAGACGGAGTACAGTCTAGGAAAAGGCTCTTGGGGTGAGTATAACACCGAGCACATCTCGTGAGGCGCACATCAACCAAATAACTGCTGCTGCATACAGACGCCTAGCAAACCTAAGAACAGCATTCCGACATCTTAATAAGGAATCGTCCACAACCCTGTACACTGTGTACGTTAGGCCCATATTGGAATATGCGGCACAAGTTTGGAAACCACACCTAGCCAAGCACGAAGGGAAATTAGAGAAAATGCAAAGGTTTGCAACCGGACTGGTTCCGGAGTTAAGGGGTATGTCCTGCGAGGAGAAGTTAAGAAAAATCGAACTGACGACACTGGAGGATAGGAGAGTTAGGGGGGAATATGATAACTACATACAAATCACTGAGGGGTATCGACAAGGTGGACAGAAACAGGATGGCCCAGAGATGGGACACAGAAATAAAGGGTCACAGTTGGAAGTCGAAGACTCAGATGAATCACAGGGATGTTAGGAAGTATTTCTTCAGTCAGAGAGTTGTCGAGAAGCGGAATAGTCTGGGAAGTGATGTAGTGGAGGCAGAATCAATACATAGCTTTAAGAAGAGGTATGATAAAGCTCATTGATCGGGAGGAGTAACATATTAGCGGCCAGCGACGAGGCAGGACCAGATGCTGTGAATCGACTCCTGCAACCACACTTAGGTCAGTACAATTAGAGACTGTAAAAATTATAGAGGAAAAAGTTTACTGAATATACCAGGAAAAGTGTACGGTAGGGTTATTATTGAAAGAATTAGAGGTAAGACAATGTAGAATTGCGGATGAGCAAGGAGGTTTCAGAGTGTGTAGGGGATGTGTAGATCAAGTGTTTACATTGAAGCATATATATGAACTGTATTTAGATAAAGGTAGGGAAGTTTTTATTGCATTTATGGATTTAGAAAAGACATATGCTAGAGTGGATAGGGGAGCAATGTGGCAGATGTTGCAAGTATATGGAATAGGTGGTAAGTTACTAAATGCTGTAAAGAGTTTTTATGAGGATAGTGAGGTTCACGTTAGGGTGTGTAGAAGAAAGGGGGACTACTTCCCGGTAAAAGTAGGTCTTAGACAGGGATGTGTAATGTCACCATGGTTGTCTAATATATTTATAGATGGGATTGTAAAAGAAGTAAATGCTAGGGTGTTCGGGAGAGGGGTGGGATTAAATTATGGGGAATTAAATACAAAATGGGAAGTGACACAGTTACTTTTTGCTGATGATACTGTGCTTATGGGAGATTCTAAAGAAAAATTGCAAAGGTTAGTGGATGAGTTTGGGAGTGTGTGTAAAGGTAGAAAGTTGAAAGTGAACATAGAAAGAGTAGGTGATGAGGGTATCAAATGATTTAGATAAAGAAAAACTGGATATCAAATTGGGGAGGAGGAGTATGGAAGAAGTGAATGTTTTCAGATACTTGGGAGTTGACGTGTCGGCGGATGGATTTATGAATGATGAAGTTAATCATAGAATTGATGAGGGAAAAAAGGCGAGTGGTGCGTTGAGGTATATGTGGAGACAAACAAAAACGTTGTCTTTGGAGGCAAAGAAGGGAATGTATGAAAATATAGTAGTACCAACACTCTTATATGGGTGTGAAGCTTGGGTGGTAAATGCTGCAGCGAGGAGGCGGTTGGAGGCAGTGGAGATGTCCTGTGTAAGGGCAATGTGTGGTGTAAATATTATGCAGAAAATTCGGAGTGTGGAAATTAGGAGAAGGTGTGGAGTTAATAAAAGTATAAGCCAGAGGGCTGAAGAGGGGTTGTCGAGGTGGTTTGGTCATTTAGAGAGATTGGATCAAAGCAGAATGACATGGAGGGCGTATAAATCTGTAGGGGAAGGAAGGCGGGGTAGGGGTCGTCCTCGAAAAGGTTGGAAGGAATGAGTAAAGGAGGTGTTGTGGGCGAGAGGCTTGGACTTCCAGCAAGCGTGTGTGAGCGTGTTCGATAAGAGTGCATGAAGACGAATGGTATTTGGGATTTAACGAGCTGTTGGAGTGTGAGCAGGGTAATATTTAGTGAAGGGATTCAGGGAAGCCTGTTATTTTTATATAGCCGGACTTGAGTCCTGGAAATGGGAAGTACAATGCCTGCACTCTAAAGGAGGGGGTCGGGATATTGGCAGTTTGGAGGGATATGTTGTGTATATACGTATAAGCTTCTAGACTGTTGTATTCTGGGCATCTCTGCAAAAGCAGTGATTGTGTGAGTGAGGTGCAAGTGTTGAATGATGATGAACGTATTTTCTTTTTGGGGATTTTCTTTCCTTTTGGGTCACCCTGCCTCGGTGGGAGACGGCCGACTTGTTGAAAAAAAAATGCTGAGTGCACTTATGCATAACTAGATGTAATTATTTCCTCGACAGAAGACAGTAGAATGTAAGGTAATCATTCTTTTATCAGAAGTCAGAACAAGAGGAGGTAATCATTCTTTTATCAGAAGTCAGAACAAGAGTAGGTAATCATTCTTTTATCAGAAGTCAGAACAAGACGAGGTAATCATTCTTTCATCAGAAGTCAGAACAAGAGTAGGTAATCATTCTTTCATCAGAAGTCAGAACAAGACGAGGTAATCATTCTTTCATCAGAAGTCAGAACAAGAGTAGGTAATCATTCTCTCTGTATGGAGAGCAGAATTAACTGTCAGTGTAATTTCGTCTGACTGCTCAGTTAATTTTGGTAGCTTTTATTGCTGCCAGAGGGCAGGCCACCCTTAGAGGTACTCAACCCTGATCAACCAGCCTATTATTGTTGCCACACAATAAATTGGAGCTTTGCTCTTGAGCCAGGTAACAGAGCTCAACATTCTATATTGAAAGTATTTCTGTCCTGGAAAAGTTCAGAAGTTGGACTTTTCTCTTTAAATAAATGATGCGCTCTAACTGTTCCATAATGCTGGAAAACTCCCTGACACCTGGAAATCCCTTATATCTGTCACACCTCCACACGTGTTCTGAGAGAAGAAATTAAGAAGCGTCTATTCTCCTACTTAATCAGATGGTATAAAGTGCTGTCCCATAAGAACATGCAAACTAGGTGTAAACACAGTGCCTTGTACCAACAGCTTAGCCAATACTGAGTTAGAAGAGACAATTGAAGGAGAATGGATTGCAAGTCGTCTACCAGATACTATCATTTACAGTGAGCGTCATGTTTCAGTATCTCTTTCTCAGTCATTGTTTCTCAAAGATTCTCTCTGACATGCAGTGTAGTCTCTGTGTTCCTAACTCTTGCCTCTTTAACACTGACTCTTACAGTGTAGTCACTGTCTTGCTAAACCTTCCTTCTCAAACACTGACTGTGGTCAGTTAAGATCCGTAAGTGTTATGCCACCTAGAAATTAATGTCAACGTGAATGTCTCAACACTGGAGTAAGATTCTTCATTCCCAGCACTGAAGCTGCCCATCAGTTGCTAACCTTCTTCCAGTAGCACAGTCTGATCCTTAGGGGTTCATGATACCTCATGAATATAGTACCAAATATTTCAATATCTGTACAAATAAAAATGCTGCTACTACTACTACTACTACCAATAATAATAATAATAATAATAATAATAATAATAATAATAATAATAATAATAATAATAATAATAATAATTATTATTATTATTATTATTATTATTATTATTATTATTATTATTGTTATTATTAAAAATATTAAAAATAGAAATAACATAATAATAATAATAATAATAATAATAATAATAATAATAATAATAATAATAATAATAATAATAATAATAATAATAATAATAATAATAACAATAATAATAAAATACCGTTGAGATTCATTGTGAGAAAGTAAGAGAGAAAAAAACATTTACTTACATTTAACTTGTAGTAGGATGGGTGGGGAGACACCGTGACCCTCAGTGTTAGTGGCTCTGCAGGTGTACCTGCCTGACGAGTGCCGTTCCACCTTCTGCAGTAGTAAACTCATGTTGCCCACCACCAACCCGTTGCTGTTGTTGTCTCGAAGCTGGTTCTCCTGTGAGGGAGATTATATATGGTGTGAGGTAGTCGAAAGTGTGTAGGCGTAGTGTGCCGAGAGTGGTACTAGTGTGAGGGAGTTTAAGTGTGAGGGTGTTTGTAGTGCGAGGAAGTCGTAGCGTGATGGTGAAGAAGTATGAGGGAGTTTAGGCAGACTGAGAAGTAGAGTATAGGAGTTGTAGTATGAGGGTTAGATTGTGAGGGGATGGTATTGTGTGGGAGTGGTATTGTGAGGGAGTGGTATTGTGAGTGAGTCGTATTGTGTGGGAGTAGTATTGTGAGTGAGTTGTATTGTGGGGGAATGGTATTGTGAGTGAGTCGTTTTGTGTGGGAGTAGTATTGTGAGTGACTCGTATTGTGAGGGAATGGTATTGTGAGTGAGTCGTATTGTGAGGGAGTGGTATTGTGAGTGAGTCGTATTGTGTGGGAGTAGTATTGTGAGTGAGTTGTATTGTGAGGGAATGGTATTGTGAGTGAGTCGTATTGTGTGGGAGTAGTATTGTGAGTGACTCGTATTGTGAGGGAATGGTATTGTGAGTGAGTCGTATTGTGAGGGAGTGGTATTGTGAGTGAGTCGTATTTTTGGGGAGTAGTATTGTGAGTGAGTTGTATTGTGAGGGAATGGTATTGTGAGTGAGTCGTATTGTGAGGGAGTGGTATTGTGAGTGAGTCGTATTGTGAGGGAGTAGTATTGTGAGTGAGTTGTATTGTGAGGGAGTGGTATTGTGAGCGAGTCGTATTGTGAGGGAGTAGTATTGTGAGTGAGTCGTATTGTGAGGGAGTGGTATTGTGAGTGAGTCGTATTGTGAGGGAGTAGTATTGTGAGTGAGTCGTATTGTGAGGGAGTGGTATTGTGAGTGAGTCGTATTGTGAGGGAGTAGTATTGTGAGGGTTGTAGCGTGATAGAGTTATAGTGTGAGAGCCTTGTAGCATAAAGGATTGTAGCGCAGGGAATTTATAGTGTGAGGGAACTGTAGTAATAGAAATTTAGAGTGATGTAGTGTGACGGAGTCGCTGTGTGAGAGAGTTGTAGCGTGAGTTAATTGTAGTGTGACGGCGTCGCTGTGTGAGAGAGTTGTAGCGTGAGTTAATTGTAGTGTGAAGGCGTCGCTGTGTGAGAGATTTTGTAGCGTGAGTTAATTGTAGTGTTGACGGAGTCGCTGTGTGAGAGAGTTGTAGCGTGAGTTTATTGTAGTGTGACGGCGTCGCTGTGTGAGAGAGTTGTAGCGTGAGTTAATTGTAGTGTGACGGAGTCGCTGTGTGAGAGAGTTGTAGCGTGAGTTAATTGTAGTGTGAAGGCGTCGTTGTGTGAGAGAGTTGTAGCGTGAGTTAATTGTAGTGTGACGGCGTCGCTGTGTGAGAGAGTTGTAGCGTGAGTTAATTGTAGTGTGACGGAGTCGCTGTGTGAGAGAGTTGTAGCGTGAGTTAATTGTAGTGTGACGGAGTCGCTGTGTGAGAGAGTTGTAGCGTGAGTTAATTGTTGTGTGACGGCGTCGCTGTGTGAGAGAGTTGTAGCGTGAGTTAATTGTAGTGTGAAGGCGTCGTTGTGTGAGAGAGTTGTAGCGTGAGTTAATTGTAGTGTGACGGCGTCGCTGTGTGAGAGAGTTGTAGCGTGAGTTAATTGTAGTGTGACGGAGTCGCTGTGTGAGAGAGTTGTAGCGTGAGTTAATTGTAGTGTGACGGCGTCGCTGTGTGAGAGAGTTGTAGCGTGAGTTAATTGTTGTGTGACGGCGTCGCTGTGTGAGAGAGTTGTAGCGTGAGTTAATTGTAGTGTGACGGCGTCGCTGTGTGAGAGAGTTGTAGCGTGAGTTAATTGTAGTGTGACGGACCCTTGTCTTGAAGATGAACGAAATAAAACATAGATGTGTTTTCTCGTTATTATCGTGGAATTATACATAATTATAGTCTAAAAATATATATGCAAGTTTAACCCAAAATAAACTATCCAAACCAAACCAAAAATAACAAATATTATTATTTCAGTGCCATTTCTAGTGCATAGAAATTCATGAAGGGCAGATTACGTATGCTGACCTTATTTACAATGGTAAGTCAGGTCATTCAAGGTAAGGGAGTCTTGATTTACCTCTTAATGACCATGAATTAATAGCTGTAAACAGTTCGTGATCAGTTAAGATTATTTAGGTGAAAATGTTAGTAAATCAAGAGCACCTTTTATTTAATATTGTTTACAGACCAAAGAAAATAATTATTCTCAGCTAGTGATCTTAGAATCGTTGTAAAGATCCAAGAAAACAACTAACTCAAGGCCCATTCAAATTTGTAAAAATAACCTTGGGTTTTTATTATTATTATTATTTTTATTATTATTATTATTAAAAATTATTATTATTATTATGTTATTATTATATCACATCGGCCGTCTCCCAGGGTGGCCCTAAAAAGAAAAACTTTCATCATGATTCACTCCATCATTGTCTTGCCAGAAGGGTGCTTTATACTACAGTTATATAACTGCAACATTAACACCCCTCCTTCAGAGTGTAGACACTGTACTTCCCATCTCCAGGATTTAAGTCCGGCCTGCCGGTTTCCCTGAATCCCTTCATAAATATTACCTTGCTCACACTTCAACAGCACGTCAAGTTCTAAAAACTATTTGCCTCCATTCGGTCCTATCTAACACCGTCACGCACGCAAGTCCAAGCCCCTCCCTCCAACCTATCCTGGGCCAACCTCTCCCATGCCTTCCCTCAACTAGAGATTCATACACTCTCGAAGTCATTCTATTTTGTTATATCCTCTCTGCATGTCCAAACCACCTCATCAACCCCTCCTCAGCCCTCTGGATAATAGTTTTGGTAATCCCGCACCTCCTCCTAATTTCCAAACTTCGAATTCTCTGTATTACATTCACAACACACATTGCCCTCAGACACGACATCTTCACTGCCTCCAGCCTTCTCCTTGTTGCAACATTCACCACCCATGCTTCACACCCATATAAGAGCGTTGGTATAACTGTACTCTCATACGTTCCCCTCTTTGCTTCCAAGGACAAAGTTCTTTGTGTCCGCAAACTCTTCAGTGCAACATTCACCTTTATCCCTTCGTCAGTTCTATGATTCACCTCATCTTTCATAGACTCATCTGCTGACAGGTTCACCCCTATATCTCTGAATACATTCACCTCCTCCATACTCTCTCCCTCCAATCTGATATCCAATCTTTCGTTACTTAATTGTTGTGTTATCCTCATCATCTAATTCTTTCCTATATTCACTTTTAATTTTCTTCTTTTACATACCCTATCAAACTCATCCACCAACCTCTGCAACGCCCCTTCAGAATCTCCCAAAAGCACAGTGTCATCAGCAAAGAGCAACTGTGACAACTCCCACTTTGTGTTAGATTCTTTATCTTTTAACCCCAATCCTCTTGCCAACACCCGAGCATTCACTTCTCTTACAACCCCATTGTGGCATCACCATCGGGTTGTAAGAGAAGTGAATGCCTGGGTCTTGGCAATACGTTTGTGGTTTGTGATGTCACCATGGTGACATCACACATCTTTGTCTAAGGAATACTTTTACTGGGAAATAATCTCCCTCTCTCCTATATACTCTAACCTGAGTCTCACTATCCTCGTAATAGCTTTCATCTGCTTTCAATAACTTACCTCGTATTCCATACATTTGCAACATCTGCCACATTGCCCCCCTATCCACCCTGTCATACGCCTTTTCCAAATTCATAAATGCCACAAAAACCTCTTTATCCTTATCTAAATACTGTTCATCCATATGTTTCACTGTAAACACTAGGTCTACACACCTTCTGCCTTTCCTAAAGCCTCCTTGTTCATATGCTCTCCTTGTCTCCGTCTTACTCTTAATCCTTTCAATAATAACTGCCATACACTTTACCAGGTATACTCAACAGACTTATTCCCCTATAATTTTTGCATTTTCATTTTTCCCCTTTGCCTTTACACAAAGGAACTATGCACGCTGTCTGCCAGTCCCTAGGTACCTTACCCTCTTCCATACATTTATTAAATAAAAGCAGCAACTACTTCAATATTACATCCTCACCTGCTTTTAATATTTCTATCTTTATTCCATCAATCCCAGCTGCCTTACCCCCTTTCATTTTACCCACTACCTCACTATGATTATTATTATTATTATTATTATTATTATTATTATTATTATTATTATTATTATTATTATTGTTATTATTATTATTATTATTATTATTATTATTATTATTATTATTATTATTTTAACTTTAGTAACATGAATAAAACACATAATTAACTGCTGTGCAGACTTAGTGACTCAGTCCATATTGAGCCTACCAGAGTAAATAGAGCAGCAGTAATTATTATGTAATTTCGCTCAGGTAATGTCTGTTGATACCTAGCAGAATAAAATACCACCATTACCAGCAGTGATTACTTGACTATGCATAGCTTTCATTCCTTTGTATGCATATAACAATGAGTTTATTTATAACTTGAAAGTTACTTAGTGACATTAGTAAGATAGAAGGGAGGGGCTAGCATTCAACGAGTGGTAAAAAAAAAGGAAATTTGAAAAATTCTGAAAAAAAAATGTTTTATTACCGAAAAATAGTGGGTAATTCTGGCAACATGTTGATGTAATCAGCTTGTTTCTATCATATTTCTAAATATGTTTTTCATGAAATGTAATTTTTTGGTTCTTGCTGTCATCGAAAAGATATAATGGCAGTTCGTGGTTTCTGTTTTTTTTTTTTTGCTCCAAAAATTATGATTTTTATGATTGTTACATTCTAAATACACTACATTGCAACTTCTCTGAGGACTCCATTCAAGTGCTCAGTCACCTGTGGGTTGTCAACATGTGTTGAGGTGTGCAACATACTGACATATGGCGCGCCATGACCATAGAGTTTTACAGAAATCATAACAAGGAATAAGAAATTGATATTATTTTCCATTTTTGGCGAAAAGTATTTATAGGAGTGTCATAATGTTTGCACACCTTATTGAGTAATGATAGTTCTACATTGCTTTTATTGATTTTTTCTCTCAAGAAGTCCTTAAAAAATAATAAACTTCAGTTTTTTATTATTATGCAATCTATTGATATTTTCGCTCAAACGACGTTGGTAGTAAGATTATATAGACCTTATCTCTCATCTGATGTCAACTAGATCATTATATGTCTTACAAATTTTGTAGATAAGGAAGAATTTTATGCCTTATAGAATAGGGCGCTATTTATTTTTTTTCGATCTATCTTTTAAGGCAGAAATTGCTACAAACAAAACGTGCAGGCTTTACATGCGGTTTAAATCACTGTAAAAATTTCATTGAAGTTGAACCATAAATAAAAAAAAATAATATTTCCCTAGTGCCTCCCGTGGTTGATAAACTAAAATTTAAAGATGACATGGAAGAAGGTCACTGGATCTTGATTATTATGCTACACTTATTGAAGTGATGGTTGGAGACATGATTTAACCTTCGTTTTCTCAGGAAACGCTATTAATGGTAACTGTATCCCAGCTCAACTGCTGACAGATAAGTAGAATTTGTAAAGTTTATAATCGAGAACTGTGATTCAAACTTCGTGGTTATTTTGGTAGTAAGTAGAAATCCTAGAGAATGAAATTGGTTTAACCTAAGCTCTTCTCAGTTTAATGGCATTACTAATAGTACAGTGGTTCGAGGAAGCTGAAATCGTTTACTCCAGAAAGACTTATTTATGTTTCTTCAGAACCTTATGTCCAACGCCTCATTAGAGACAGATAACAATTTGAAAGTAACTAAGACAATTATTTAGAGCTATATGGTAAAATAGGGGGTTGTAGTAAATTGAAGTGGGTTAACACAGTAGCGTAAAATCACCTAATTAAAGCATTTAACAACTTCTCTAAGAGTCAACAAGGGACAATCAACTGATGCAAGGAATTTGCATCCTCCAGACACAGGGAAACTAGACAGTCATCTTGAACCACTAGCAACTAGGTTAAGTCTTATTCAGCAGAAATGCTGAGCATGTAGACCTTATGATATCTACTCGTTAAAAGTTTATTTTTAGTGTGTGTGGGTTATTTATGTATTGTTGCAGACACAGTAATGTCTCTTTTTATTCTTTATCTTATTTAAAATTGATAGTCATGAGTAAACATTGATGGGATTAGTGTTTACAAGAAATTTGTTCATAGTAAGAGAGCAACTACTAGGTAGTTAAATCTAATAAACCAATATGCTAGTTGGGCAGCCTCTACGTGTATTTTTGTCTAACCTACCTTAAGTAACATTACCAATCTTAGACACAGAGAGTGAATGGGACGAATTTAGATGCTACAGTAGATTTAGATGAGATGATGAAGTTGCAACAACTCAGAAGTTAACTCTGAGGCAAATCACCTCAGTGAAAGTAATGTTACAGTGTCTGTGAGCTATAAGCAAGTATTTTATACTGTATTCTCAAGGATGCTCATAACAATAAGGATAGCAAAAGACTCAAATTTATGCATTAATTCTTAGCTACGCCATCATTCAGTCTCATATTCTGTGTTACCGAACTTAAAAAATCGACTTGAGGGTACCAAAAAATCTTAAAGTACTCAGATCAATTTCGATCAAGCAGAATGGGAAATTAGCAGTATAGTATAGCTAAAGTAACAAAAATAGTAGAATGATTATCGAGTCGATGCCAGAAGATCTATTTAAGAGTACACGAAATCCGAAAATGATTAGAAAGAGTAATGTGGAGAAAATTCTCCAGTAAAGGGGGTATCTCTCAGCCCTCTTAGCCCACCTCTCAGCTCTCTGAGGGACTTAGCCCTCCTGGAAGGGGCTAGTGGACTCTTCATTCCTCACAAACAGTTTTATGAGGAACATATGTATGTACCATAGCGTCACGAGGCACTCCTTCCTCTCGTTGCTAGAATTCTTGATCAACTACAAAACGAGGTAAAATGAGAGTAATTATTCTCTTCTCCACAGCAGGAAAATTAAAGGAAAACCTGTGCTCCACTTTATCTACAAGTTGAGACTATTAGGAATTCTAGTCTAGAGATAGATAACAAAAAACCTACCTTCTTGTATTGAATACTGTTGCAATGTGTAGTAAGGAAGAGATTCAAAGCTGAACTCAGCAATTCTTTTGTGTGGAGGGTGAGTTGTGGGTGCTTGGGCAGGATGACAAGCTAGGTTGAATTAAGATATCAGAGCATAAACACGAGTCACAAATCTCCCGCAGAGAACAAAGATAATAATGAATTTGTGTGGTAAACTCTGAAATACTGTCAATCTCCAATAAAAAAACTAGTGTTGAAAAGAAACACCAGTGCATAATCCTCTGTATAATCCCTATAAGGTGTAAAAGTTTGTGTTGCGGTATTCATTCAGGTGTTATGAACAAAATGACTCCCTATCAACGAGTGAGGACATAACTACATATCTGTAGCAGCATAATACTCAAGGCATCAATAGCGGGGTCATACTTCCCTTACCACAAACTAGGGGATACTGGGTCAGTTACAATACCCAGGTAAGTCCAGTCATACCCACACCTACTTACGTTAGCTGCAGGTAATAGGTAGAGGTGAGGTTTGACTGGAATTACCAATAGATCCCGTGACATGTGGGTGATTCACCCAAACCCAAGTATTACTACGCATTTCAGATGATAGTGAAATGCTGGATATACGCTCCTTTGGGGCAAATTGTTTTCAAACACACTTGTTAACAGCCACTTTGGAATCTGGAATGGCACCCCAAAGGGACTTCCAGGGAGAGGCTCTGGAAATCGTGCTGTTAAGAGATAAGTAACACTTGTCTAATGTTTGTTTGACGCAGGAAAGTGTACTTATCTAACCAGTTCTCCACAAGCAATATTTCAGATACACATTAGTCAGACTTTGATTCCAGGAAATGATGATCCGCATAAAGTAGGAACTAAAGCTAAAATACAGTTTGCATTTCAGTTATGAAATGATAAATTACTTTATAAGTTGGTACAGCAAGTAATCACCTTCTGTTATTGAGATGTCTGACTTAAGAAGATATATCACATATATGGCAGTGTAAACAAAGTCTGAATTGTGGCAAGGTAACTATGTGAATGGTGGATGCTTACTGATACCAATGGGTGGGTAACAAATGGGTGGGTAGCAACATTGAAATTATACATAATAAATACTCACGTTGTGGTACCAATGGACGGTAGTGGGGGAGGGGACGGCGCTGACCGAGCAAGTGAAGTACACATCCATACCTTCCTGGATGTCCTGAAGATCTTGGCGAGAGTCCAGTGAGATGCGGACCTCAGGAACGTCTGGAAAAAAAACCGCTTAATAATAATAATCTTTATTTCTACAAGTACATGATACAACTTATACATACCATACCTGACATCAGTGACACACTATACAGAAAGCCACTGATTATGGAGAGCATTTCGGACAATTAGGTTAATTTTATTCCTAGGATGCGACCCACACCAGTCGGCTAACACCCAGGTACCTACTTACCGCTAGGTGAATTGGGAAATTCGTTATTCAGTTGTAGTGTCATCAACCCACTACCTAAAAATTTTGATTCAGTCCCGGAGCGAGTGGAAACTACGATCATTCTTATAGAAGCAAGTTACCCCCTGATCATATGGAGGTAAATGAATCCACAGGAGTTGGAGGGAGGGGGATAATATACGTTACATAGGACTGGGGTTGATGTCATTAATTAGAGAAAAAATCATAAAAAACCGTAAAAATTGCCGAAAATTCACTAAATGAGCAGGGATACTACCAGTGTTGTCATCACAATATAGAAAATATAATTCGTTGTAGAAACATTATACAACACCAAAATTTTGCCAGATTAAACTATGTTTCTGTAGGCTTATCTCATCGTTTGATTTTTTTTTCGATTTTTCGTAACCTCCCCAGCTATGTCAGACAGATAGCTCTCTGAACATGTAAACTCAATATAGAACATACACTATTACTACTACGGTAATATACACTATTGCCTCAGCAGCTAAATACACTATTGCAACTTTTGTAACATTCACTATTGATACTGGTGCATCGTACACTGTTGCTATTGCTGCAAATAGACTTGTTATTTCTGCAGCATTCGTTGTTGCTACTCCTGCTATATTCACAACTGCTACTGCTGCAACATCCGTTATCGCTACTGCAGTAATACTGTTTCTGCTGAAGCATACACCTACGCTTGTGTTGCAACATAGATATAACAGCTGCATCACTGAATATTATTAATTCAGCAAATTACACGATTATTATTACTGCAACATTCACTGTTTTTTTACCTACTGCAACACTCACATTTCTAATTCAGCAATCCCAAAATACTCTAAATATCTTCAAATATCTTTGACAACGATTTTTTTTGGGTTGACCAGTGACTTATATAATTGCAACACACTATCGTTTGTTTTCCAGTATAGATTATTGACATTGCTGCAACTTACATAATTATCACTGATGCAACAACACTAGTATTACTGTAATAATGCTGGTAGAATTACCAGCAATATGTTCATTAAAAGGACACAAGTACAACTAATGTGACATTTTATTGTGGCAACGTTTCGCTCTCCAGGAGCTTTGTCAAGCCGTTACAATCAATACATGGACACAGAGGGTATATATAGGCTTAGATTGTAGTGCCTTACACCTCACTCTAAAGCCTATATATACCCTCTATGTCCATGTATTATTTGTAACGGTTTGATAAAGTTCCTGGTGAGCGAAACGTTGTCACAATAAAATGCCGTATTAGTTGCACTTGTGTCCTTTTACTTGACAGTATAATTACTACTGCAACAACTCACGCCAGTACCCGGGTATCACTGATAGGTAGATTGGCTAGGGAGAAGTAAGCGAGGAGGGGTATTTTCAGGGCACACTCTGACTCTCACAAACACACACTAGGTAGTTAGGAATCTAGGAAGTAGGTATTCTAGGAAAAAGATAAACTTAGAAGGAACTAGTGTGTAGGCGGCTGGATCAGCATCAGGTCAAAGTCAGGCTAGAGAACCACATACACACGCAAACATTCTGAGTGCTCATACACATGCAAAATGCACATACATGTTCATGCACTCAATCCCTAAACTAACGTTCACACAGGCATACACGTACAGGCACGTACATATACACGCACACAGGCCAATTGAATCCTTACCGGGGCTTGATAGTACCCAACCCATTCCTTTCCCTACACCTCTCTGTCTGTCTGTCTGTCTGTCTGTCTGTCTCTCTCTCTCTCTCTCTCTCTCTCTCTCTCTCTCTCTCTCTCTCTCTCTCTCTCTCTCTCTCTCTCTCTCTCTCTCTCTCTCTCTCTCTCTCTCTCTCTTTCTCTCTCTCTCTCTTTCTCTCTCTCTCTCTCACTCTTCTACCCCTCTTTCTTTCCACCTCTCTCTCTCTACCAATCTCTTCCTGCCTGTCTAACACATACACACACACACAAACACACACACACACACACACACACACACAGACAAGCATACACACACACACACACACACACACACACACACACACACACACACACACACACACACACACACAAACATACACACACACACACACACACACACACACACACACACACACACACACACACACACACACACACATACACACATACACACACACATACACACACACACACACGCACACACACACACACGCACACACATACGGGGCCAGGAGCTATGAATCGACCTCTGCAACCACAAATAGGTGAGTACATACACTCACACAATAATGGAGCTCATGGAGCAGAGAGAGGACTGGACCAGGAGCTATGACTCAACCCAGCAACCACAAATAGGTGAGTACATACACACACACATTCTCACACGCACACACACAGCTCATGGAGCAGGAAGAGTGACCTAGTAGGAACCAGTGGAGAGGCAGGGCCAGGAGCTGTGGCTCGACCCCTGCAACCGCAACTAGGTGAGTACACACACAATCACACAGACATACACACACAACGAAGAGGCGGGATCAAGAGCTGTGAATCAACTACAGAAATCACAAATGGGTGAGTACAAATAGATGACTACACACACACAATCACACACCATTGAGCAACAACTGAGACACACTATGTTCCTCGTAGGTCTGAATATGACAAAAAAAATCGAGCCTTCTCCTTGTCCAGGTTAGACCTCCAGACTCAACGGGTTTTCCTAAAACTCAAAAACTTGGTATTCCCATTTGAGTTATTACCTTGGACATAGGGAGTGCCTCGCACAGACTTACTGGCAATCTTGCCAAACACTTTTACTGCTCCTGAGTACCATTAGTTCATATGTACTCAAGAGATGGCTGAGCTGCATCTCTAAAGTCAACAAGGGGATCAAGTAAGTGGCATTCTTTGATGTTACTTCCCTTCTCGCTAATGTTCGTATTAAATCCACTGTTGATATATTTCTCAGAATATTCACTGACATCCACAATCTCCCCCTCCCCCTGCTGGACCCTCATGTCAACTTATCGCCTCCTACTTCGAAGATTACTTCTGTCATGGAGAGAAAAAGCTTCCACTTCACTGCCTCTGACACCGTGTCATGGCTCCGATATGTTGATATCTTATCTGGAGTCTACCTGGAGGTCGTTCCGAGTGTCAACTTCCCAGTGGCCCAGCTTTTGACCTGGCCTCCTAGTGGATTAGAGCCTGGTCAACTAAGCTGTTACTGGTGACCGCAAGTAGTTCAACGTACGAACGGGTACTGTCTTTCATCCTGGACCATGATATCAACAAAGTAAAATCAGTCATCAGATTTACACTGTAACTCGAAGTTGATTAGCTTCCCATCCTCGACACTCTCCTCTGCAGATCGCCCTAGGGGAATATCTTTCCCATCAATGTTTATAGGAAGCCCACTAATAAGGAAGACCTCGTAGCTCGTCTCACTCCATGACTCTCCCACCAGGCACTTGACGGTCATAGGACTCTTCCAGAGGGCTCTGCATATACCTAACTATAAATTAAATGAAAGAAGAACGTGTCTACATTTGGCAGAGTATAACCTAACTACACTTCCCTGCAAATCTTTTTGCAATTATCAAGCCATTCTACACAGTCCAATAGCCGCCAGATATAACCAGAGATTTTCTGATATTACCATGCCATACTATGCCTACACACACACACACACACACACACACACACACACACACACACACACACACACACACACACATCAGGGGGTCTTGCAACAACACCCAAATAACCAATCTTACCACAGCGTCTATTAGTGTTTTCACGAAGTCGAAAAAAATCCCTTTCTAGCGGTCCCTTTAGATATATTGGAATCGACGCCATACCCGTGGGCAATGCGGCCAAATTTAAATTTACAGAGGTGAAATCGAGAAAGACCACGCCCACAGAATTTATAAATACAGTAAACCAGCAGGAATGACAACATTAGTAACGCTTTTGTGTCAAATACAGCAACAATGAGGGACATCACATTCTTTGGTAAGATATTTAACTGATTTACAGGAACTAGCTCAGATGCGACACAAATTGCCTTTGAAGCATCACTCATCGATATCTCAAATTCGCACTAAAAATATGCCAGTTGTAACATTTCCAGAAGCCTAGCCTATATAAGATGAACTGTTTCTTTTTTGAAACTGGCACATGACAGGGCAATTCCCCCTCCACTTATAGCATTCTCTTCCTCTTACTGGTACCAGGTAAAAAAAAGTCGCCACTACCACTGACGTCTCTCATCGCATGTATTTGAAGTAATCAAGGATTGAGTGATCGGGGCTGAATTATTATCACATTCATGGGGGAGCGCTAAACAGGCTCAGCTCAGGGAGGTGGAACACAGATCCAATTCCCTAAATCAAGAACCCCTATCCAGCTTCAGCCTTGATCCCTTTAGGGGAACAAGGCTGAAGCGTGTTCCCAAAACATTTCCTGTAAATATTCATCCATCTCCATTTCTCAATAGTTAAACACTAATTGTAACTGACTTATGAAATCGTAATAAAACGATTGCAGGGTAGTGTGCGAGAAGGACTGCCTAGCATGGGCCAGAATACACAAGAAGAAGCGAACAGAGACGCTTACACTAATGCATTTCAATTCTGGGACACTGGTCACTCTAAATCATCCAAAAGAAAGAGATTTCAAAGTATATAGTGGAGAATGCAAGTCTGATTCGTTAAAGGAATGACTTCATTCAATTGACGTTTTGTCCTCCAGGGTTCTACCAACCTTACTTAGACTGATAGACTCACTGGTGGGCGTAACGTTTGTAAAAAGATATACCCAGTTGTTAACTAATTCTTTATCTGTTCCTACTATCAAAGTTCACCCTGGAATTACTCACAGTGCACGATGAGCTTAGTGCCGTCCTCGAGGGAAGACTGCAACAGACCTGGAGTCTCCGCTCTGCACGAGAGGTATCGACCCTGGTCTTCTGGAATCGCTACCACCACTACCTTGCTCTCCGTCACGTTACCGTTGTCTCGTTGTCTCTCTCCGCTTGATCTTAGTGGACGTCCGTCCAGCCACCAGCTGACGTTGGGCGGTGGACGGGCTCCCACCACTATACACACCATCGTCACGCCAACGCCCGAGGAGATGGGACCATCAACGCCCACAAGATCGATGGACATGGGAGGCACTGTGAAAGAGGTTTACTAAGTACGCTTAATGAATGACTAAAATCTTATAGCTGATGGTCATAAGGTTTAGATTTAAGAATTTTTCAGAGCTTATGTAATAAGCAACTTAAACCAGGACTAAGTGATAATGATTCAGCACAATGTATTTACTCTGGCATAATTGTCCTTTTAACTCTTTTGAAGACATTAGATTTAAATTTATAATCAATATATTGGTTAGTCTGGAGAGTAACTTCCTGATCCCTGTACAACATAACGTCATTGACCTATTGGCTTGTTATTTATTTTTTTTACATTTTCTCATATTTTCCTAATGTGTGTATTGTAATTTTTATTTTGTAATGTTTTTACAATATTATGTCGTGTTCAGGAATATGATTCCTGAAGATGGTGATGGATTTATCACCGGAACGTTGAATTATTGCAATATAATTTCAATGAGAATTTTTTTGGAATTTCCCAACTATATGCACGATATATATATATATATATATATATATATATATATATATATATATATATATATATATATATATATATATATATATACATATACATATATATATATATATATATATATATATATATATATATATATATATATATATATATATATATATATAGTAGGTTGGTAGACAGCAACCACCCAGGGAAGTACTACCGTCCTGCCAGATGACTGTGAAACAAAAACCTGTAACTGTTTTGCATGATGGTAGGATTGCTGGTTTTCTTTTTCTGTCTCATAAACACGCTAAGATAACAGGGATATCTTGCTACTCCTACTTACACTTTGGTCACACTTCACAGACACGCACATGCATATATATATATACATACATCTAGGTTTTTCTCCTTTTTCTAAATAGCTCTTGTTCTTTTTTATTTCTTCTATTGTCCATGGGGAAGTGGAAAAGAATCTTTCCTCCGTAAGCCATGCGTGTCGTATGAGGCGACTAAAATGCCGGGAGCAATGGGCTAGTAACCCCTTCTCCTGTATACAATTACTAAAAAAGAGAAGAAGAAAAATTTTATAAAACTGGGTTGCTTAAATGTGCGTGGATGTAGTGCGGATGACAAGAAACAGATGATTGCTGATGTTATGAATGAAAAGAAGTTGGATGTCCTGGCCCTAAGCGAAACAAAGCTGAAGGGGGTAGGAGAGTTTCAGTGGGGGGAAATAAATAGGATTAAATCTGGAGTATCTGAGAGAGTTAGAGCAAAGGAAGGGGTAGCAGTAATGTTAAATGATCAGTTATGGAAGGAGAAAAGAGAATATGAATGTGTAAATTCAAGAATTATGTGGATTAAAGTAAAGGTTGGATGCGAGAAGTGGGTCATAATAAGCGTGTATGCACCTGGAGAAGAGAGGAATGCAGAGGAGAGAGAGAGATTTTGGGAGATGTTAAGTGAATGTATAGGAGCCTTTGAACCAAGTGAGAGAGTAATTGTGGTAGGGGACTTGAATGCTAAAGTAGGAGAAACTTTTAGAGAGGGTGTGGTAGGTAAGTTTGGGGTGCCAGGTGTAAATTATAATGGGAGCCCTTTGATTGAACTTTGTATAGAAAGGGGTTTAGTTATAGGTAATACATATTTTAAGAAAAAGAGGATAAATAAGTATACAAGATATGATGTAGGGCGAAATGACAGTAGTTTGTTGGATTATGTATTGGTAGATAAAAGACTGTTGAGTAGACTTCAGGATGTACATGTTTATAGAGGGGCCACAGATATATCAGATCACTTTCTAGTTGTAGCTACACTGAGAGTAAAAGGTAGATGGGATACAAGGAGAATAGAAGCATCAGGGAAGAGAGAGGTGAAGGTTTATAAACTAAAAGAGGAGGCAGTTAGGGTAAGATATAAACAGCTATTGGAGGATAGATGGGCTAATGAGAGCATAGGCAATGGGGTCGAAGAGGTATGGGGTAGGTTTAAAAATGTAGTGTTAGAGTGTTCAGCAGAAGTTTGTGGTTACAGGAAAGTGGGTGCAGGAGGGAAGAGGAGCGATTGGTGGAATGATGATGTAAAGAGAGTAGTAAGGGAGAAAAAGTTAGCATATGAGAAGTTTTTACAAAGTAGAAGTGATGCAAGGAGGGAAGAGTATATGGAGAAAAAGAGAGAAGTTAAGAGAGTGGTGAAGCAATGTAAAAAGAGAGCAAATGAGAGAGTGGGTGAGATGTTATCAACAAATTTTGTTGAAAATAAGAAAAAGTTTTGGAGTGAGATTAACAAGTTAAGAAAGCCTAGAGAACAAATGGATTTGTCAGTTAAAAATAGGAGAGGAGAGTTATTAAATGGAGAGTTAGAGGTATTGGGAAGATGGAGGGAATATTTTGAGGAATTGTTAAATGTTGATGAAGATAGGGAAGCTGTGATTTCGTGTATAGGGCAAGGAGGAATAACATCTTGTAGGAGTGAGGAAGAGCCAGTTGTGAGTGTGGGGGAAGTTCGTGAGGCAGTAGGTAAAATGAAAGGGGGTAAGGCAGCCGGGATTGATGGGATAAAGATAGAAATGTTAAAAGCAGGTGGGGATATAGTTTTGGAGTGGTTGGTGCAATTATTTAATAAATGTATGGAAGAGGGTAAGGTACCTAGGGATTGGCAGAGAGCATGCATAGTTCCTTTGTATAAAGGCAAAGGGGACAAAAGAGAGTGCAAAAATTATAGGGGGATAAGTCTGTTGAGTGTACCTGGTAAAGTGTATGGTAGAGTTATAATTGAAAGAATTAAGAGTAAGACGGAGAATAGGATAGCAGATGAACAAGGAGGCTTTAGGAAAGGTAGGGGGTGTGTGGACCAGGTGTTTACAGTGAAACATATAAGTGAACAGTATTTAGATAAGGCTAAAGAGGTCTTTGTGGCATTTATGGATTTGGAAAAGGCGTATGACAGGGTGGATAGGGGGGCAATGTGGCAGATGTTGCAAGTGTATGGTGTAGGAGGTAGGTTACTGAAAGCAGTGAAGAGTTTTTACGAGGATAGTGAGGCTCAAGTTAGAGTATGTAGGAAAGAGGGAAATTTTTTCCCAGTAAAAGTAGGCCTTAGACAAGGATGTGTGATGTCACCGTGGTTGTTTAATATATTTATAGATGGGGTTGTAAGAGAAGTAAATGCGAGGGTCTTGGCAAGAGGCGTGGAGTTAAAAGATAAAGAATCACACACAAAGTGGGAGTTGTCACAGCTGCTCTTTGCTGATGACACTGTGCTCTTGGGAGATTCTGAAGAGAAGTTGCAGAGATTGGTGGATGAATTTGGTAGGGTGTGCAAAAGAAGAAAATTAAAGGTGAATACAGGAAAGAGTAAGGTTATGAGGATAACAAAAAGATTAGGTGATGAAAGATTGAATATCAGATTGGAGGGAGAGAGTATGGAGGAGGTGAACGTATTCAGATATTTGGGAGTGGACGTGTCAGCGGATGGGTCTATGAAAGATGAGGTGAATCATAGAATTGATGAGGGAAAAAGAGTGAGTGGTGCACTTAGGAGTCTGTGGAGACAAAGAACTTTGTCCTTGGAGGCAAAGAGGGGAATGTATGAGAGTATAGTTTTACCAACGCTCTTATATGGGTGTGAAGCGTGGGTGATGAATGTTGCAGCGAGGAGAAGGCTGGAGGCAGTGGAGATGTCGTGTCTGAGGGCAATGTGTGGTGTGAATATAATGCAGAGAATTCGTAGTTTGGAAGTTAGGAGGAGGTGCGGGATTACCAAAACTGTTGTCCAGAGGGCTGAGGAGGGGTTGTTGAGGTGGTTCGGACATGTAGAGAGAATGGAGCGAAACAGAATGACTTCAAGAGTGTATCAGTCTGTAGTGGAAGGAAGGCGGGGTAGGGGTCGGCCTAGGAAGGGTTGGAGGGAGAGGGTAAAGGAGGTTTTGTGTGCGAGGGGCTTCGACTTCCAGCAGGCATGCGTGAGCGTGTTTGATAGGAGTGAATGGAGACAAATGGTTTTTAATACTTGACGTGCTGTTGGAGTGTGAGCAAAGTAACATTTATGAAGGGTTTCAGGGAAACCGGCAGGCCGGACTTGAGTCCTGGAGATGGGAAGTACAGTGCCTGCACTCTGAAGGAGGGGTGTTAATGTTGCAGTTTAAAAACTGTAGTGTAAAGCACCCTTCTGGCAAGACAGTGATGGAGTGAATGATGGTGAAAGTTTTTCTTTTTCGGGCCACCCTGCCTTGGTGGGAATCGGCCAGTGTGATAATAAAATAAAATAAAAATATATATATATATATATATATATATATATATATATATATATATATATATATATATATATTATATATATATATATATATATATATATCCTATGCCTGTATTCATAATAATAATGCTAATAAGAATAAGTATAAGAATTATAAAAATTAAATATTAATTATTATTATTATTATTACTACTACTACTACTACTACTACTACTTCTACTACTACTACTACTACTACTACTACTACTACCACTACTACTACTACTACTACTACTACTACTATTATTATTATTATTACTACTACTGCTACTACTACTACTACTATTATTGTTAGCATAAGGGAAATGGAAACCTATATATTTATTTACAACACTTTCAGTGAAAAACAAAATTCTGTCCCTGAACCCTGATCACTTCAAACATATTTATTAGCAGTGATCAAAGTCAAAGAAAGAAGCATTTATAGTAAAGTAAATGCACTCGTGATCATTTTCGTCAAGTTCTTGGAAGTCACTGCCATTTTCACCGTAGCTTTAACATACGGATTCAAAAGAGTATTAACTATGCTAAAAAAAATAGCTTCTTCGTCTCTTCTGAAAAATAACGCAATTTAAGGGAAGGTAAAAAAAAAAATTCGTTTCTCCCATGTAAAACCCTCAAGATATCAAGTTACCTTTGATATCCAGGAATTTCCACTGAGTACACAGAGAAGCAGCAATGGCTGAGCAAACAGCTGTATCGGGAGAGCAGGAGAAGCAGCTTTTTAGGTCCGTCGTTTAACTCTTCTGGATGTTTTCTG